GCCAGCAGGGGGGAGATCTTGAAAGTGTTTGAAGGCTCTGTGTACTGACCTGCCTTTTTATTAGTGATTGGGTTCATTTTGCCATTGCCACAAGGCTTGACATAAGCTGATGATATATTAGTTAACAAGACAGAGTCCAAGAAGGATCTTGACAATTCCAGAAGGACAAACTGAATCAAGCAAGATAAAGTTAACCTAAGTGAACCAAAGTCTTACAAATTTTAACTGTTCAAGCAGTATCTGTTTGAGGAATAGCATTGTTAAAAGTGCCGTGTTTGTGGTCAAATCTATCTGGTCCAAAATCCCACCTTTCCCCTTCTTTAGTCCTGTTCCCTTGATTAAGCCAAATAACTTCCTTATTTATAAAATGGCACAGTAAAATACCTGCCTTGCTCAAAAAGTTGTTAAGAAAATGAAATGAATAATGAAGTACTTAACATATTTCTTAGGATGTAGTTGGTAAATAAGGTGTTTTATTATCAAAGACCTTTCTTTCTAACTTTTATTTTTTAAAAATTAGGTATGAGCAAATATTGGATTTTGGGGTGGGCTTTTAAGAGCCTCTTGAAATAATATTTGGACTGGAGGTTTTATAGTACCTGAAACATTATTATCCCAGAAAAAAATTGTGCTGTCAGCCTCTCCAGTCCCACCTGAAAATGTTAGCCCTCTTCTCTTTATCTTTCTGACTTCTGTTTTCACTTCTTTCTGCCATAAGATTAATAACCTACTTTATGGTTTTTTATCATATTTAAGTCACTCCCTTATAGTATTTGTTTACAATTTTTCTTTCTTTATCTGACATCTTGGAATACTTTCCAGGGCTTTTTATGTTACTTTTCTTACTATGTTTTTTATTGATATACTTTACATATGATAATATTCACAATTTTAAATACACAATTTGATGAGTCTTAACAAATACATCATAAACAGTCAGAACATTTATGCCTACACTTTTAAAGTCTTCTAGTTGAAAACAATTGAATTTCTTAACAGGTTTATAAATTACAAACTTGCAATTAAAAGATATGGTTTTATTTAGGTTGAAAAGAGAAATGAGAAATACATTTAATAGTTACTGAGAAAGGCAAGAGAATGCTGTGCTTCTACGTGATGATTTGGCTTCACTCAGATTCAAATGTCTCTCATTTTCCAAATCTGAGCTTCACTCAGATTCAGATGAAATGCCCCTGGAGGACTTGGACAAAAGAGTGACATAATCTGATTTACCCTGTTTTAAAGGATTACTCTGGCTCCTAGGCAGAGAGCAAACTGAGTGTGAAGAAGAGTGGAAGTTGAGGGTCAGATAGATTGCTGTTAACATAGTCCAGATACGAGATGATGGAAAGTTAAAAAAATATAGTTTTATTTATATTGAAAAAGAAAATGAGAAATACATTAATAGTTATGTAGAAAGGCAAGAGAATTCTGAAAAATCTATTAGATCATTTACTTGTCTTCCTTTTGTCCTCTAAATAAGATAAAATGCTTGCAGAAAATGAAGAACTTACCAAGAATAAATTTGATTTCAGGATACTTAAGGCTCTGCCTGTTACTACTGATCAGAATCAGGCTACTTATTCATCTTCTTAGTCTTGGTCTTCTGGTTTGTTTCCTTTTCATGCTAATATGTTTAGAATCAGCAGGTGGTTGAAGGATGGCAACATGGGCAGAGAGGAGAATGGAAAGGAGGTGGTAAGACACAAGCAACACCAAAATCCTTTTTCTGTTCCTTAAATAGCATAATTACATGGAAATAGTGCCTAGCAATGCAAATTAATTGATTAAAGCACAATATACAATTATAACTGTTAGGATGAGAATCTATAAAAAGATCTAACTTAATCAGGTTGATCAGGGAAGGCTTTCTGCGGGAAGGGGCATTTTAAAATGAGACTTGAAGGATAAAAATCAGCCAACTATGTTCTAGTGTGTTCGTCCAAGTGAAGAGGAGGAGCAGGCAGGAAATACTAACCAGAAGGCATGGCACAAGCAAAGAATGTCAGCAGCTTAGATAACGGGGTAGATTGATTTGAGATGAATCTGCCAAGGTAATCAGGAATCAGATTGTGCTGGGACATGTTATAAATTTCATGCCTCTATTCTTAGAGCAATAGGAAGCCATGGAAAGCCAGGGAGTGACATATTTGCATTTGGGTGAGATATGATAATAAAGCTAAAAGCACACTTACTATGGGCTGGCCTTGTAAGTGATTTTTGTATATTAACTGATAGGCACTTTACACAAACCCTATGAATCAGGTAGTATTTGGGGGCCCAAATTATCAGTCAGGAAACTGGGGTATACAGAAAGATTATATAACTTGTCCATGATCATACAGCCAACAAGTGGCAATGCCGAGATTGCCAAGATAGAATTTAGGAGGCTGTTGCAGAATTATCAGCAAAAGATGCCCAGGTCTTGGCCCGGAATAATGCAGTTGGGAGACATTAGGATAATAAGTTAAGATATATATGAACTGTAAAATTCATAGGCTTTATCTTCAAAGCACTACATTTCTAATTGCTTGGTATGCTTTTCAGTTTTTATCATTTTATTATGGTAAGAACAATTAACATGAGATCTACCCTCTTAATAACACCTTTAGTATTGTTAACTATTGCCTGGTATACTTTTCAACTTGACTGTTTTGCTTTTGCCTCAATTTTCTACTAATACTAATAATACTCTTTCTTATCTTTTTTCATACTCCTGTTAGAGGTTTTATTATTTGCAATAATTCAGACCCAAAATATTGAAGTAATTTTTCTCTCTTTTGCTTCCTCCCAGTGAGTTAAGCAGACACAAAGCCCAAGACAAGTTACCTTTTGCAAAGTTTTCACAATTCATTTCATCCTTCCCATCCTTAATGCCTTTCCTATAGAAATCTGAGTGCAGATCTATTTACATAGAACACTATTGGCAGGCTGTCATGACTGAGCCATCCGAATTTACTGTGCTCCAGGATCTAATTCTCACCTGCATCAAGGAAACTGGATTTGGGGACAATTCAGAGAATGGGGCATATATTGTTGTTAGGTCCACTATAATTAAGAGAAGGGGATGGTTTAAAATGTGATAGAAGAGGGAAGGAGAGATAACTTAATGGGGATGGAAAAAGAAAAATAATCAAAGCTAGGACATGAAAAATGTGGTTTTCTGGAAGCAAAATTCCTGTCATGGTTATGTTCCAGCTCAAAGGATTTCCTGCCGATCAGAAAGCCTTCTACTTTTCTTTGGCTGAAACATCGGGGCCTCAGGTTTCACTATTAAAGATAGGATAATGATATAAAAATTCTTATGGATTAAAATTTGAAAACATCCCCTGAAGTCTCTCCTTCTCTATAGTTTTGTGATACAATTTCAGTTGTTTTGACTCCAAGTAAAAAGAGAAGATGGTCCACAAAACGCCCTTTTATACATGTAACAACCACATTTAGTGAAGCCATCGCAGTATTGCTCATGCAAGTCCATAGGATTTAAAAACAATCCTTTTCTCCTATTCTAGGAATAAAGTCATAATGTGTTTTGTAAATAATGCGATTAGTTAATAGATACTTATACACAAGAATATGTTTTATAAAAATAAATTCCATTAAAAAATCTTCATGACATCATCAGAACCATTTCTATACCTGACACTGGATTTAAGTATAAATAGCTTCTATGTGTATGTTCAGTCATTTTTTACATAATGCAGTGTGAGACTATTAACTTCTATTTACTTGGCTAACAGCCTAGACATAAATATGAAATAAATCACTCAGAAGAAATAAGGTATGGAATATATTAAAATGAAAATGTACTTAAACAAATGCATGATAGTGGTTGTTTGTAGGTTTCCTTTCTTGTAAACATAAATTACTAAAATGTATTCTTATACTCATGGTGAATATGATTTTTATTTTAACTGTTTATGGGTTGTTAAAAAATAACTTAAAAATTGGTGCAAATTAACTGACCAGCACAAGGATGGTAAAGAGGTAATTTGGCATATTTATATTTCTAGTTTTTAAAGCCAAACGTAAATATGATAGAGAAAATGCATTTCATACATGTGAGATATGATCATTCCTGTGGCAGCCACATTTTATATTAATAGCAGTTCAGATTTCCTACCTAACCTAATTCTCTATTTTAAAAAATTGTTTAAGTCAGAAAACTGTGGCAAGTTCCTGTACCAGTTCTGGTGTTCACTAAAATCAGTTTATGTGGATCAACATTCCATCAGAAAGCTCATCTGGTTTTGTCCTTATCTGGTGATAGTAGTGCATGAGATAAGAGAACCTGAAGGTTCTTCCTTTCTGGGTCTGTTCTTTCATTTAAAGTAAATTTCTTTCTTGAAGTCATATGATGCAGAGGCAAGAAGCCAGGATTCTGGAACCCTACTGCCTGAGTTTGAATCCCAGCTCTGCCACTTACTGACTGTGTGACTCATGGCAGGGGCCATGTCTCGTTTTCCTCATGAGATGATACTAGCAGTACATGTCTCATAGGATTTCTATGAGGACAAAATAATTTCCAGTGCCTAGAACACAGAAAGCACTCTATAAATAGTCATTATTATTACACAACCTAACTCTTATTCAATGGTCGTGTTATTGAAGTGTAATATATATGCAGAAAGGAACTCATAAGTGCTCAGCTTACAGAAATTTTATAAGCAGAACAATCCTGTGTAACCAACACATAAATCATGAAACAGAAACTGGTACCTCTTCATGCTCACTTCTAGTCTCTACCCCTCTCTAAGGGTAAGTAATATACTGACTTCTGATTAGTTTTATGAATGGCTATTCATTAAACCTTGATACTGCAGCAATTGATAAGAGACTTATTGTAGTAGCATTTTATTTTTTATTTAATATTTAAGATAAACCTATTTGCTGATTAATATTTTAATATTTATAATAATAAATATCATACATTAAATAGAATATGTAAAGTATAATATATAATTATAAAATATAATATCTTAGTGCATTTTGTTTTATAGGTTGAAAAAGCTCCTTGAACAAGAAAAGGCTTACCAAGCCCGCAAAGAAAAAGAAAATGCTAAGAGGCTCAATAAACTAAGAGATGAGCTTGTGAAACTTAAGTCCTTTGCACTCATGCTGGTGGATGAAAGACAAATGCATATTGAGCAACTTGGCCTGCAAAGTCAGAAAGTGCAGGATCTTACTCAGAAACTGAGGGAAGAAGAAGAAAAGCTCAAAGCCATTACTTCCAAATCCAAAGAAGACAGGCAGAAATTGCTCAAGTTAGAAGTGGATTTTGAAAACAAGGCTTCGAGGTTTTCCCAAGAGCATGAAGAGATGAATGCCAAGTTGGCTAATCAAGAATCTCACAACAGACAACTGAGACTCAAGCTGGTTGGCTTAACTCAAAGAATCGAGGAGCTAGAAGAGACCAACAAAAATCTGCAAAAGGCAGAAGAAGAACTTCAGGAATTAAGAGATAAAATTGCAAAAGGGGAATGTGGCAACTCCAGCCTCATGGCAGAAGTGGAAAATCTCCGGAAGCGCGTGCTTGAAATGGAGGGTAAAGATGAGGAGATCACTAAAACTGAATCCCAGTGCAGGGAATTGAGGAAGAAGTTGCAAGAGGAAGAACATCATAGTAGGGAACTCAAACTTGAAGTTGAGAAGTTACAGAAGAGAATGTCCGAACTGGAGAAATTGGAAGAAGCATTTAGCAAGAGTAAATCTGAATGCACCCAGCTACACCTAAATCTGGAGAAAGAAAAGAACTTAACCAAAGACTTGCTAAATGAACTGGAGGTGGTCAAGCGTCGAGTTAAAGAACTGGAATGTTCTGAAAGTAGATTGGAAAAGGTTGAATTAAGCCTAAAAGATGATCTTACAAAGTTGAAGTCATTTACTGTGATGCTGGTTGATGAAAGGAAAAATATGATGGAAAAAATAAAGCAAGAAGAGAGAAAAGTTGATGGACTCAATAAAAATTTTAAGGTGGAGCAAGGAAAGGTTATGGATGTAACTGAAAAACTAATTGAAGAAAGTAAGAAGCTCTTAAAACTGAAGTCTGAAATGGAGGAAAAAGTATACAGTTTAACAAAAGAGAGAGATGAGTTAATAGGCAAACTGAAAAGTGAAGAAGAAAAGTCATCTGAATTAAGCTGCAGTGTTGACTTATTAAAGAAGAGACTTGATGGGATAGAGGAAGTGGAAAGAGAAATAACCAGAGGAAGGTCTCGAAAAGGACCTGAGCTCTCCTGCCCAGAAGATAACAAGATTAAGGAACTTACACTTGAAATTGAGAGACTGAAGAAACGTCTCCAACAACTGGAGGTGGTCGAAGGGGATTTGATGAAGACGGAGGATGAGTATGATCAGCTGGAGCAGAAATTTAGAACTGAGCAGGATAAGGCTAATTTCCTCTCTCAGCAACTGGAGGAGATAAAACACCAAATTGCCAAGAATAAAGCCATAGAGAAAGGTGAGGCTGTGAGCCAGGAAGCTGAGCTGAGACACAGATTTCGGTTGGAAGAGGCTAAAAGTCGAGACTTAAAAGCTGAAGTACAAGCTCTTAAGGAGAAGATTCATGAATTAATGAACAAAGAAGATCAGCTTTCTCAGCTCCAAGTGGATTATTCTGTCCTTCAACAAAGATTTATGGAAGAAGAAAATAAGAACAAAAACATGGGACAAGAGGTCCTCAATCTGACCAAAGAGTTGGAGCTTTCTAAGCGTTACAGCCGGGCTCTGAGACCCAGTATGAATGGAAGAAGAATGGTAGATATTCCTGTGACCTCCACGGGAGTCCAGACTGATGCTGTCAGCAGTGACGCGACAGAGGAGGAAACACCCGCAGTATTTATACGGAAATCCTTCCAAGAAGAAAATCATATCATGAGTAATCTTCGACAGGTGGGGTTGAAAAAACCTATGGAACGGTCCTCTGTCCTAGATAGGTATCCTCCAGCAGCCAATGAGCTCACTATGCGAAAGTCTTGGATTCCATGGATGAGAAAAAGGGAAAATGGTCCTTCAATCATTCAAGAGAAAGGGCCACGAACAAGTTCCAGTCCTGGGCACCCAGGAGAGCTGGTTCTTTCACCAAAGCAGGGCCAGCCCCTGCATATCCGAGTGACACCAGATCATGAGAACAGCACTGCGACTTTGGAGATAACAAGCCCGACATCTGAAGAATTTTTCTCTAGTACCACTGTCATTCCTACATTAGGGAATCAGAAACCAAGGATAACCATCATCCCATCACCAAATGTGATGTCTCAAAAAACAAAAAGTGGAGAGAGTACTCTCGGTACAGAACGAGCCATGTCCCCAGTCACAATTACCACGTATTCCAGAGAGAAAACTCCAGACAGCGGAAGAGGTGCATTTGCGGACCGGCCCACATCCCCCATTCAGATAATGACAGTGTCCACATCGGCTGCCCCAGCTGAGATTGCAGTCTCTCCTGACTCCCAGGAAATGCCCATGGGAAGGACTGTTCTCAAAGTTACCCCAGAAAAACAGACTGTTCCCACTCCTGTACGGAAATACAACTCCAATGCCAATATCATAACCACAGAAGACAATAAAATTCACATTCATTTAGGTTCTCAGTTTAAACGATCCCCTGGGACTTCAGCAGAAGGAGCAAATCCAGTTATTACTGTCCGACCTGTCAATGTGACAGCTGAAAAGGAGGTTTCCACTGGCACTGTCCTTCGCTCTCCCAGGAACCATCTCTCCTCACGACCTGGTGCAAACAAAGTGACAAGCACTATCACCATAACACCAGTCACAACCTCATCTACTCGAGGAACCCAGTCAGTGGTGAGTAGAGGAGGTTCAAAGTGCAGGTGGAGGGAAGAAGGGAGGGAGGGAGGAAGCAGTGAAGAGTGAGAATAACCTAATGCCCAAAATAAAACAAAAGCAATTGCCTCTTGCTCCACTTGAACCCACTAGCAGATGTTTTCTAAGAACTATATCTACACCAAGAAATAAAAATAAAAAGTGGCCTTATTTTTTAATAAATTTAGCTAATTTGGACAGAAATTTTTTTTTCATGTAAATTATGGAGAACCCCCCCAAATACTTGCAAAGATGGTCTCTTTGTAATGTTAGCATAGATAATGGTTAAAATTTGATGTTTATGTTTAAAATACTTTTAAAAATGGAGACTAAGGGGAAATAGTGAAAATGCAAGAAAAATGAAAACTGTTCCTGGGTTATATTTCAGAGTCCAGAGTGCTAACCATTATACTATGGAACCCTGTTCCTGGGTTATATTTCTATAACCTAAAATATTCAATATGTGATTATGTATGACCATAGTCATACTTTATTCCAAAAAATGAGATTAAAAGATTTTAATATTAAAATATTAAAACCTTTTTTAAAAGTAAAAAAATGAGTTTCTATGTCTAAATACTATATGTTATTAATAGTATCTTGCAGAGGGCAAGTGCTTGATATATATTATTTAATAACCAGCTGGGAGGTTAAATAAATGATAATAAAAAAGCGTGTCCAAAGCATGAAAGCCAGAACTTAAAAATAAATTCTATTTTTCAAACTGCTTCCAGAGATTGTCTTCATTCATTGGGGGCAAATTAGTAAATGAAATTATAGACGATCATGTGCTATTTTGATATTAATTTAAATAAACATACTGGAAATTATGATTCCTAGACTCTGAACAAATTCTGCAGCACATATTGGAAACTCTTAAGAAACTTACTTATTTAAATATAGAAATTGTGGCTTATTTTCCCCTATCTTCAATATAATTTATTTTTAATTCTTTATATACAAATGTAGGCTGAAGACAGTCTTCAAAATGTGAATTAGTAATTGCTTTGCCAGTAAAACTTTTCATTATTGGCTCTGTAGGAGCCAAATAGCATCAGAATCGCTCACCCTTCTCAAATGGTTGAATATTGCTTTTTAGTCAAGACAGAATGTAGCTTGAACTTTCATAAAAAGACAATGGAGGTGTCAATTGTTGTAACTGAAAGCAGGTCTCTCTGCTGGAACATCTTATTCCTGTTTTAAGGGTCAGATCAAGATAGCTTTATCTTCTGTAGCAACCTTTATGACTATTGATTAAACCCCATACACAAGTAGGATTTCAAAACAGCCAAGATATCTAAGGCCTGAGTAATGGCTCAGCTATTTCAGGTGTAATCGATCCCATTAAATTAAGGGCAACATAAAGTTTGGGATACCCTTCTTAGAAATCGAATAATGAGGCTAGTTTATTTGTGCATTTATTCATTAAAGTATTGAATTTATTGAATATTAGCTACACTTTAGCCACTGGATTAGGTGCTGACTACAAAGGGGCTTTAGAAGTTAGTTCTCAGCTTAGTGGGACAGTCCTGAATGGAATCTACCTAGTGGTTTTCTAAGAGTTTGAACAAAGGAACCACCAGAGAAAGCTTCACAGAGAAGGAGGTTTTCACAGATGAGGAGAGATATTCAAGGAGGAGGAGGAAAGGAGTGTGTAGAGAGAACAGTGTGTATGAAGGTACAGCAAAGTGGAGGAGCCTGGCATATCTGGGGAAGGGTGAGCGGTCCCACTGTGCTGCAGCAGTTGGGCATGGAGACCAAATGCAGGAGAAGAAAGTGGAGAGGCAAACTGGGGGCAGATATGAACAAGGCCGCGTGTCTTATGAAACTGGCATTTATTCTCAATGAGTAGCTAAGGGGAATTGAAAGTGTAAGGATGATTTTAAAAACATTACATTATTTATGTTTTAGAAACATCTTCAGAACAGTTTAAAGGATAAATTGGAGGGGACAGATGCTGAGGACAGAGATACTGTTGCAGTTCTTTAGGCTGGAGATGGCGTAGGCTTGAAGTATAGTAGTGAAAATGAGATATACTAGAGACAGAATCAAAGAATTCCTGACAAATTGGGTATAGAGGGTGGCTCTGAGGTTTCTGGCTTGGATGCATGAGTGGCTAGGATGAGAAGCATGGGGGGCTACTGTTTGGGGGAGAAGATAGGTAAGGTTTGGGGCATGTTATATTTGAGATGCCTGAGGAACACTGGAAATGTTTAGCAAGTAGTTGGAAATATGGATCTGTAAGGAGAACATTGAAGGCTTGAGGCCCGGAACTTGTCAACACATCAGGTGATAACTGAGGTGATTCTCAGCATGAAAGCAAAAAATTAAAGGAGGCCTAGGAATGGAATATGGTGATACCCACGTTAGCAGGCTGGCAAGCTAGAGCAAGGAGCCAAGCCAGCCAGAGACTAAAAAGCAGTCACAGAGACAGGATGTGATGGGTCAGACTCAAGTAAGAAATTACAGTAAGAGCTTTAGGAGCACTTCAGAAAGGAGGGTGTGGTTGTCTGTGACAATAATACATGAGAAAAGTCTGAGTCCTTAGGAGAGATGGCTATCAAAAGAAAGTGGGGGTAATTTGGGGGACAGTGGGAATAAAGTCTGTTAATGCCAAGTAGCCCGTATTTTTTCTGTGAAATAAGAGGCAAGGTCATCTTTGGTAAGGGTAGAGGAGTTGGGTAGGAGCTTGAGAAGAGAAGGAAGTTTGGCATAGATGTTTCAGGAGAGGAGAAAGGGATACAATCAGAATGGATTAGATAATGACTCCAAGGTTCTAAGGATAATTTTGCCTAGGGAGGTCGTCTATGGCAAGTGTCCTGACTGATGGCATTTCCGGGGGAAAGCTTACCACCGTCTCCCTTGTGTTTCTGTATTTCTTCTCTTACAGTTAGGACAAGACGGGTCATCCCAGCGGCCTACACCCACCCGCATTCCTATGTCAAAAGGTATGAAAGCAGGAAAGCCAGTAGTGGCAGCCCCAGGAGCAGGAAATCTGACCAAATTCGAGCCTCGAGCTGAGACTCAGTCTATGAAAATAGAGCTGAAGAAGTCCGCAGCCGGCAGCGCTACCTCTCTTGGAGGGGGGAAGGGCTGAGGGCAGTGGCTGAGGGGGTATGTTGCGCAGACGCTACTGCTGCAGTGAAAACAAACCTTCGTCTGTTCGTTCCAACTCTACCTGTACTAATTTAAGCTTTAAATATCTTGTTTATAAAATAATCTACTAATAGCCATGTGTCTTTCCTATTTTGTGAATTTGTTTTGATGCTGGGGAACAGAACTAACCAGCAAAACTACTGTTTGCCGTGAGTGTGGTGGAGGAAGCTGCACCTGAGACAGGGCCTGACGTCTAGTCCCAGTTTTGCTTCTAGAAAATGGACCCATCAATTAACCCATCTGAACCTCAGTTTCTTTGTCAGTGAGATATGGGAGCTGGACGACATCCTCTCCAAAGCCCGCTCCCATATTTCCTAATTGTAAATCAAATGTAATAACCCTTGTTCCACAATTCCACATTTGAATTGATTTTTCAAAAATTCTATTATGATATAGGAAGTACTTTAACAATTGTCATTTACCTCTATCAGATCCCGAATTTGCTTCATGTGCTGGAAGAAACATCTAGTTATCACAGGGCCTGGACCTCTAAAGTTTTGAAAAACAAAAGCCTCTGAAATGATTTCAGAAAATAATTTGAATGTGAAATAAAATGGAAATGAAATATGGAATTCCAAAGCAGAGTTTTACTTATTTGTGTGTGTCTGTGTGTATTGTAGAGGTTTTGGCCATTTCCAAATCATCCCCAGATTTTCAGACAATAATTTTAGAACCATTAATGTCAGACTCATGCTCTATTCAGGTATGCAGTTGATTTAGATGGTGGAGCAGTTTGAGTAGAGCTGCCAAATGGCCCTGTATAGCTCAACAGAGGTTGTAATGGACAGGAAACAACAGAAAGTAAATTCTGATACATTAATGCCAAGAAAAAAGTGAAATCATGCATAGCTTAATTGAATTGAAATATTTTTCTTAGTTAACCATGAACTTTACTTGCAAATATAAAACCAGCTCATGATGGTGTGTGTGTGCTGTAGAGAAGTGTATTATTTTTCTTGTCAGTTTTACCGGTGCTTGCATCATTGTCATTAATTTTGAGCATGTTTTAATCAGCATGAAACAGTGTGTGAGTGCAAAATGTCAGATTTTTTTTAGAGGAGACTAACCATGTTGAAGTGAACACTGCTTCATAGTCAAATAACCACAAATGAGCTCAAGGCTAACAACCTGTAGCATAGCATATGAGGTCTGACGTAGGAGCATCTTTGTCAAGATTTCTGAGTCAATGGGTGAACTTTCCAAAAATACAACAACTGCAAAGTTACAGGTTATTTTTCCACTTTTGAACTGTGAGGAATCCAAAATTATCTGGATACTCCCTGCTCTTGATATTGGGAAAAAGAAAATTAAATATATATATATATATATATTTATATGTATATGTATATAAATATAGATACATACATATAATTAGTTTTTAGCCCATGATTAATCATGCTTTGTGGTGAATAGACTCTTCTTTAAGTTCTTGCCACACTGGATTTCCTACACCTTGCAGAACTTGGACCTGAATTATACACAATGGTGGTAGATGCCTCACAGTATTTAAATTCACTACAATCAGATCTCTGTTGCCTATCATTCATCAGTTTTCAGCATATGTATTTAAAAATATTGAGCAACTATGATAGACATGTCATAATAATGGGATTTCAAGGTAGGAGAAGCTAAGAATGAAGATTATATAAAATATGACTGTAAGCAAGTTTAAACAGGAAATCTTCCCATTTCGAATACTGACTTTTTTAAAAAGGGAATTTCCCCCCTACCTTTAGAAAGTGGCCACAATCCTTTTCAAAAACAAGGGCATTCTCTGGCACTTAGGGTATTTAGTGTTACTGTACCATAACATGCTGAACTTAAGCAAACGAAGGTGTCAAAAGTATGAAATACTGCAATCCTTTTGACTTTACTTGCCATTTTTCAGTGACTTCTATCATAATCTTATTGTCACTGTTGCTAGTTTTGCTTTTACCTGCTCACACCGTGCTTATGTCATTTCTGCCTGGAAGTCCATACCATCCGCAGGGAGAGTGCTCCAAAAGGCCCAACAGCACACGCACAGTCTGTTTCTACATCTGGACCTTGGAACAGAGCCACCTACAAAGTACAACTACTAAGAAAACTTGGCAGAACAACACATATTCACTTTTCAGAAATGATAAAGAGCAACCGCCATGGCAGCTTTTTCTTTGTAATTTTAGAACCAACTCTACATTTATTGGAGAGCTTTGTTCAAAACCACATATTAGAAGTGAAATCCACTGGGGATAGGAGGTGGAGGATTAAATGCACTCCAACTCCAGCTTCCATCTGTGAGTATAATGTTTTTAAGATGCAGTGTAATGTGCTTTTATAAGAGTGAATGGGATTAAAAGGTTAGAGTCTTTTCCCTGTCCTGGAATACAGCACTGTGTAGTCAAATAAAGAGGGTCTCACCAGGGCTGCTGTGAATAGTTGCTGCTCAGGTCCCACCCCGGGGAGCAGATGGGAGGGGATGGGGTGTCATTTCCACAGATTTCAACGTGTTGGCTCCCCCTCGTGCCCACCAGAGGACATGCAGGGCACCATCTGCACAGCTACACAGGAGGCCCTGGTCTTCCCCTCCTGAAAATAATCTTCATGCACTGACCATTTTAGTACACTCCAATGGTGGCCATTTAGCATGCATGATACCAGAAATGTTTCTGTATGGGACATGGCCCTCAGGGTATTTGTTGTTTCTTGAAAATGACCTTTCTGACTAAGTCACCTGCTTAAAAAGGGTCATTCAGTTGTTACTGGCATTTTTATCAGATTTTTAGTGAGAACAAGTTAATGGGTGACAACTGGACTCTAGAGATTTTTATCATCTTCAATAAGAGTACGGTGTTACCAGATCTCTTACTTGACTATTTTCAAGAAGAGAGTGAAGAAATAGCTTTGATGTGCTGTGTGGGAACAGCATAATTTCAGGGAAATGAAACCATCTCCAAGAATGCAAAGTGTACAGAGATTTAAGTTTCTCATTCCCTCATAGCTTCAGAATACTGGGGGAAAAGTGAGGCTTTCCTGACTGGAAAGTTCCAGGGATATTAGATAGGAAGAGCATGTTTATGTGGGAGGCCAGTGGGCAGAGAGAGAAAGGAAGAGGTAAATGAGAAGGGCACTGAGAGGGTTTCCCCAGTGCACATGAACATAAGGTTCCAAAGGTTCCCTGACCCAGATGAAGGTTAGTGTTTACCCCTTACCTCCTCCTCCAGGCTCTCCTCATTGGTTATCTCCTCAGTCTCTGCTCTTTCACCTTTTCCTTTGCACTTGTTACTTGCTCACAGGATATAAATATGCTCTGGCCTGTTCCATTTTAGAACAGTTCTTTCCTCAGCTTATGGTCTTCTCTAGCAACTGCCTGGTCTCCCTCCTTCCAAGTGAGGCCATTGACAGTCACGCTTTTATGCCTCTACTTCTATACTTTCCATTTAATCTTTAATTTTTATTCTTGTTAAAGTAGTTTGTACACATAGTTAAAATATCAGCCTATGCTAAAAGACAACAAAAACAGCTGTTCCTTTTCCTTCACTTTTGCTCCCTGGAGAAAATAATTTCTAACTCTTAGCAGTTTCTTCTGGTATTTATCTCCATATTTCTAAATAATATACTTGTACTCTGACTTTTTATTCACCAAGTTTAGATATTATTTTTTGTCTTATCATTATTATATTGATGGCTGAGGATTTAGTCCTCTCACATGTCCCATCTTTCTTTTCCCATACTCCCAATATGATTATATCACACTTTTTTTGATAAATCAGCAGTCAGCATTTGTATGTTTATATATTAATATTTACAGTGTAAATTTAAATATTGTCTCTTGCTGAGTTAAGTATTATACTATGATTACATTTCCTTTATATCACTTTTCCCCTTCAAATGAATAATTGCTTTAATTTTTCACCTGCTTGGTTTTCCTTTTTTAAATTTAATTTAATTAATTTTAATTTTATTTACTTATTTTTAGAGTGGAGGGGAGAAAGAGAGGGTGAGAAACATCAATGTGTGGTTGCCTCTCACGTGCCCCCTACTGGGGACTTGGCCTGCAACCAAGGCATGTGCCTGGACTGGGAATCTAACTGGAGACGCTTTGGTTTGCAGGCTGATGCTCAGTCCACTGAGCCACACCAGCCAGGGCTCATCTGCTTGGTTTTCTAGGTATCTATTCTTATTTTTTCCCAACTGCTCCAAATAGGTCTGCCAAACACCTACCAAACCCCGAAACACATCAGTTTCATATTTTCCCTGGAGGCCTTCCTAGTTCAGCCCTCTGATTCCCTGCTTAGTCTAGGCCACTTGTCCTCTTGGCCTGCTGCTCTGTCTGTCCTTTTGCTTGTCTTAAAACCTGTTTCCTGGATTTCTTATCTTCTACCTCTTATACTTAACTCTATATATCTACCTGTCTGTCTGTCTATCTATCATCTATCTATCTATCATCACCATCATCCATCTGCCTGTTTGTCTACCTATTTTTTGAAGTATACCCCAGTAGTTTCTATACAGAAAAATCCTTCAAAAACCTTCCTGGGCAGGCTGCCTGCATTCTGGGAATACATCAGGGGAGATGAAGCATCTCAGAGTTCAGCACATCAACTTTTTCACTCCCCTGCATTGAGTCTATGCTGCCTTTTCTTTACCTAGGCCCAGAACTTCTTAGGTTGTTTTTTTGTTTAGTCTGTGGTAAGGGTGAAAACAGAATGAGGTCATGCTCTGCTCCCTCTCTGACCAGGAAGACATGTAATTGTTTTTGGTTTTCCTTCGACCTCTCTGACTGTTCTGCCTCAGTTTCTGTGGATGGCTCCTCATTTTATGTGTACACTTTAAGGATTGTCATTCCCCTCGTCTCTATCAAAAGCCATTTTCCTACACTACATGCTGGTTCTTGTTATTTTATGCACTCCCGTGGCTTCGCTTATCACTTACATGCTGATAACTACCAAACTGCTATCTCCAACTCAACTTGTCTC